AAATCCTCCTTTCATGAAGGTTATAATGTCCAGTTCTTGTTGAGACTGTTTTAAGGAAACATTGATTAAACTTTAGGATCATTTTGGAGGTTTTAGTTAGTGGCACTGTTGAATTATATTGTGTACTATTGAGAGGTGTGTGATATTTAAATTGGGATTTATTGGGAGGTTCTGGTAATCTTGCACAGACCAGTTTACTCGCTGTAAATACCACACTGACAACTTTATGTGTGACAGCTGTCAGTTATTATTAAACATCGAAATGGACCCAAGAAATAGTCTGCCAATGCAGCTCAACCATCGTCTTAATCCCAGATTAAAGCATCCAAACCCGAGTCTGAAGATATCAGCCAGTTTCAGAAAAGCAGAGTTGATGAGGATGGGGAAAGGGTACTTCTGGAAGAGTTTGGGGAAGAGCACCACAGCCTCGCACTGCTCTCCCAGCTTCCCCGACCGCAGCCCTGGAATCAAAGCAGGTTAAAGGGTCACAACAAAGCGGGGACATCTTCTAAACACAGCGAGGAACATCTGGAGAGGTCTCAGCACATGCTAAATAGTTAGCAGGCTGTGTAACGCACCTTTGTCCAGCTCCATAAGGGCGGAGTTGGCGTCGAGTTCCTGTTCGCCATAACAAGCTTCAGACAAGAATGACCGAGCAGTTGAAAGAGACATAGCTGTTTAGTTTTTACGTGGAAACAAACACACATTTGACAACAGCCGTGAACTGTTAGCTTTTCATTGTGCAGGCGGCGACTACGACACGCTCAAACCGGAAATGACAGCCGCGTTGGTTTTGGTTTTCACAATAAAGCGCTATTTTACGTGGTTCCTTTTACCGAAGTGCTGTACAGTTTCCACTTTATGCCAGTTTATCTCTCCCCTCCATCACATTACAGAAGGAAATATTCATATTTCTGCTCCACTGCATTCATTTCATAGCACGTTATTAGTTGCTAGGTATTTTTATATTGTTTAGGAATTATTATGTTTCTAAAATGTGATGATGCATTGTTATAGGTTCAACTACCACCGCAGTAAAACTTAAGTGAAGTCTCTGAATACTTTCTACACCATCTTCGGGACCAAGGATTACATCAGATTATCCATTTCTCAGGACAATGACGAGGGTCGTTTATTTTGAAAGGACGGATAAATCGGTAGCTGTTGTGGCGCAAAGAAAAACGGAAGCGGAAGTGACACCGGTGCGGAAGTGGCCGCCTCAACCAATGGTAGCGCGGAACGCAAGTTTAGCGGGGGATTCAGTCCTGCGCTGTTCGCGGGAAAAACAAGAGACCAGCAGTTAACGACCTGAGGAGCCCCTCAGTGCTTTTAGAAGACAGTATATCTCCGATCGTCTCGCACCGGAGCGTAGGAATGCTTTTCCGCTCAATAGTCGACAGAGGAGCGGGCAGACGAAGGCAGAATGGTGAGATAATCGATGTATTTGGGAGTATCGGAGGTCATCGATCTTCTGTGCTACCCTTTAACTGTTGGATCTGTGGTCGCGTGCTTTTGCTGTTACCATGGCAGTAGAATTCGAACGTTCCAAACGAGGTCAGATGTACGTTAACGTTTTTTTTTTTTTTTTTATTGTAACTGTTAACGTAGCGTGTTCACGTCCGTTTTAAGGCGCGATGATCGGAAATCAGTATCGCTATCGTTTTTTAACAATGTCGATCACAATAGGACGAATGTAGGCAAAGTAGAATGTAAGAAATGAAACTGATTGTTCAAGGCAATGACCTGTAAACTCCAGTAACTCATTTTGTTGGTTATAAATTCAATTCAAAATCAATAGGGTTGGGTCGGTATAAGATATTATCATGTATCTTGATTTAAAAAAAAAAACCACACTCCATTATTGTGATAATAATGTGCCTTTACTTGAAAAAGCTGTCTAACCTGCCAGCATGCAGGTCCCCTTCTGTATTGATTTACCACAACAAGGGGACACAGTCATTTCAAGAAGTCTGGGCTTGTTGTATCCCCCACTAAAAAAAGTTAAGTCTGATGTCTGGAAATAGATAACAAAATAAAGAACAGGAAAAGGATGTTCCTATCTGGGATGTAATAAATATATATTTTCTAAAAAACATGCAAGGTAAAGTGATACCAGTATGTTTCAGTGCCATATAAAGGCATGAAGTACATTTTAATTATTATCGTGACAATATAAAGTATCGCAATTATTTTGGCCAAGATAATCGTGACATGAAATTTTCATATTGTCCAAATTTCTGGTAATCAATAATATGTGGGTATAGGTATGTGCACACATACAAGGAATTTGTTTGAATATGTTTTATTATTATTATTTTATGTTGTTTATTTTTTTTTAAAGGAACTGAATTTCAACAATGAAAAAATAAATAGTGACAGGATAACAAGATATGGCTTTAACATTACCATAGGATGGTGCAGGAAGTTGCTAAACAATAATATTAAATTCCAGCCTTTCATCACTGATTTTAATTAGTAGAAAAGTAGCAAAACTACTAAAAGTACTGTATCTAACTAAATGCACGGTCTTCTTTGATCTTCCCAGCCCTCCCTGCAGACCCCTGGCCCACGTACCCTCTGAGCTCTCTGCTGGAAGGCTACCAGTGTGTCCGACACGATGAACACATCTCCTACGGAAACCTGGGTGACTCTGTTCCACCGTTTGGATTGGCTTTCTCCTCCGGTAACTCACCTGTACAGTACATGCCATATTATCGTCAGATGATACCTAACAGAGCAAGGGAGGAGCTGTTCCCATTTATCCGTCTAACCGGTGTGTCCTCTCTTCAGCCGGTCACCTGCGGAATCTCCTCGCAGCAGCTAACGAAGAAGGCATCGTGAGGATCTACAACACAGAGAGCCGCGGGAAGCCGCTTCTCAAAGGTATGTGTGGAGGCTCCTGTTTACCTCTATAGTTCTGTCCATTATCGGGGGATATCAGAGGCTAATGATGTGTGTGTGTGTGTGTTTGCAGAGTGGCTGGCTCATGAGAATGCTGTCTTTGACATAGCCTGGGTACCGGAGGAGCCTCACTTAGTAAGTAGAGTACAATTCAAATTCATTCATGATGATTCACTATGAAGCATGATGTGAACTCAGTAGCATCTTTTAAATACTGTATTTATAGTCTTGATTTGTATGTTTTTGACATAAAAACATCTAATATCTGGTCCATACACAGATATTTCTGACTAATCCATTTATGCTGTCTGGGTACTGGCTCCTTGTATTCCCTCATTATCTACCCTTGTTCATATTGCTGCATGTAAAGTCCTATTTCATACAAATGAACCCTTTCTTAAATTAATTTTTACTATTATTCATCCTTAGGTGACTGCTGCTGGTGATCAGATGGCCCGACTGTGGGATGTGAAGTCAGGGGAGCTGTTAGGCAGCTTTAAGGGTCACCTCTGCAGCCTCAAGTCTGTTGCATTCGCACCACAGGAAAAAGGTATGTTATATACTGACCACGTACTATAATGCTGGGGGATATTTTGTTCCCTGTCCTGTATTTTTGTTCTGTCAAAAGACCAAGAAAACACTGTTGATGGTGTAACATGGCCGGGCAGCCTGTTATTCCTAGTAGCCTGTTTATATCCACCCTCCTGTAACCACTGATGCATATGGCAGGAAGATTTTAGTTTTTGTTTTAGTATTTAATGTTAAGTAGGTCTATGCATGACATGAGAAACTGAATTTTTCACTTAAATGGAATATATTTTGAATGAATGCTTTGTTTTCTGTTAAACAGCTGTCTTCTGTACTGGTGGCAGAGATGGAAATATTATGGTCTGGGACACCAGGTGCAGCAAAAAAGGTATTAATTGAAATTTGAGTACCAATGGTTTTGTTTTTATTTTGTGTAATATTTAGTGTTTTGTCAGCCCCAATCTTTATTTCTAAAATGTTAGACCTTAAGGGACGTAGAAGGATGAGTCAGGGTATGTTGTACTTGTGCAGAGTGTGAGATTATATTCATGCGTTCCTTTCAGATGGTTTCTACAGACAGGTGAAACAGATCAGTGGCGCTCACAACAAAGCCGAGACAAAAACCCCCACCACAACAAAGAAGAGGCGGAGCGGCGCACGTGGCATGGCTCCCAGTGTGGTGAGTTTTATTTCTCCAACAGCTGACCCTCTTTAATGAAATAAAGAGTCGAAGGAAGGCTGATCTCTGAGCGCTTGTCTCTCTTGCAGGATACCCAGCAGAGTGTGACGGTGGTTTTGTTTCGGGATGAGCACACGCTCATTTCTTCTGGGGCTGTCGATGGGTAAGAAACCACTCTTACTTTTTTCTAACAAGCAACAAGCCAGAATTAAATGACTCTCGAAGAAAACAGACTTGTGTGGTCATATTCATGTTTCCGTTTAATTTGTCTTCACCAGAGTGGTCAAGATGTGGGATCTGAGGAAGTACTACACTCCACAACGCAACGATCCTATTCCCCTGCAGACGTACCCATACCCGGGTTCTTGCATGCGCATGCGACTGGGTTAGTTTTGTACAGAACTGGCCATCATCTTTACCTCAAAATATACAAATGACCAGAATGAGCTGACTGTTGTTTTGCACGTGTTGCAGGCTACTCCGGACTTGTTCTAGACTCCACGAGATCCAACGTTATCTGCAACTGCACTGATGATAGTATCTACATGTTCAATGTCAGTGGAATAAAAACGAATCCAGGTAAACGAGGATATATCTGACTAAACATACTGTGTATCTGTGCCAAAACAGACATTTTCAAGTTCATCACCAATTCGTTGCCATTTTACATCACTAGATGGGGCTGCAAACTAATGTCCTTTGCTGTCATGTCATTTCCAAGTAAAGCAAGAGGGCACTGTTTGATAGAGGAAATGTAAAGTTGTGTGTGTGTGTGTGTAGGAGCATATTCTAATATCAGGGCCCCTCATCAGCACCGCATCATACTCACACATTGCAAGCCAGGTAGCCATTTTGAAGGGCTGGCACTGGAGTATTGTCTAGACCACTACATGCACATGAAGTAAAGGACAGTTTGCATCGAATTAAGGCTCCTGTTGTTTATATTTCTCGATTTCAGGCTCAATTGCTTTCTGAATTGAAGCTTTATTTAGTGATTCTAATATTGCTGTTTATTTTCCTCCGCAGTGGCAGTTTTCAGTGGCCATAAGAACTCCTCGTTTTATATAAAGTCCACTATTAGCCCAGGTGACCAGTTCTTAGCCAGTGGCTCAAGTGACCATCACACTTACATCTGGAAGGTATGGTCTCTATTTTGATTTGCCATTATAAAATGGAAAATTGCTTCCTGTTTGTAATGTTTTAGAGAGTTTATGATGGCGTAGTTCAGTATTTTTAAATCTAATTTTACTTTTCAGATCTCTGATCCTAAACATCCTCCTATGATGCTCCAAGGCCACAGCGAGGAAGTCACATCTGTTGCATGGTGCCCAACAGATTTTACTAAGGTGAGGCAACGAGCTTTTGTGTTTCTTTGTGTAGTTTGTTTAATTACTCGGCGTAGCCTATAGATGTATAACCAATCACAGATACGATAAATTCCATCCTGTTTCTCTTTTTACAAAACCTGATTGATTCAGAGGTTTTTGTGTTTCCCTGCCGTGAAGCTGAGCTGTTTTGATAGGCTAGGAAGATGGATTTAGGCTCCATATAATCCCCACCGGTCTCTTGGCAGATTGCTTCCTGTTCTGATGACCACACTGTACGCATCTGGAGGCTTCGCCGGGAAATGGACGGAGCCCAATCTTCAGTGGGACAGGCCAACCTTGTAGGCTGGGCACGTCCCAAGTCTTCCTCAAGTAAGCATTGCAACTACCATTAAATGCCTTGTAACAATACAGTATATACAATATATTGTTTATGGTGTTCTATTCTTCATATTGTTGCCTTACCTTTTGAAGTGCTTTGGCAAAAATCACTGCTATCCTGCCCTCGAATGCAAAATGTGTCATTCCAAGTATTCATGCGTCACATCTGAACTAACAAGGACTTATTTCTTTTGTTAAGCGCCTTCGATCAGACCTGAAACAACCCCTTCCAAGACCAAGAAGACAGAGAGTCCTGATGGCGCGGCATCACCCCGGCTTGCTTCCTGTGCTCCCAGTGGAGCTGCCCTGCCTCTCCCATCCAGCACCACTTCACCTGTCTCTTCTCAAGACGCTCTGGCTGCTGTTGTTAGCCAGAGAACGCCGTCTTCTATCAAACAGTGGTTATCCCCGAGACATGGATCTCCTGGTCAGAGCAGCCTTCCGCGCCGTTCGATGTTTAACCAGTGTCCCCAGAGCCCGGAGAGCAGCACCTCTCCCACAGAACGATGGGCCAAGCGCAGGCTGGAGTCTTGCGACGGTCCATCTGCAGGCTGTGAGGGAGCAAAACAGTGTGACTGTGTTTCCGAACTCTACCCCGCAGCCAAGAAAAGCCGGGCACTGTCTGGAATCTGCTGCCCCACTCAGGAGAGCCGGGTAGAAACAGACTGTCACACGGAGGACAAACAAGCCTCATCGAGACAGACTGACAAGGAGAATTTATCTCCCAGAGCAGTTGACTGGTTGTCAGTGATGGGCCAAATGATGAGGAAAGGAAGCGTCAGTAGTCTCAGAAGCCCCACTTTCTCTAAGAAACAAGAAGGCAAGACACCAGCTTCACCGGTAAGCACAAACATCCCTGTTTCAGAAGTTAACGTTAACCTGAAGACTGAAATAATGAGTTTCTGCTTTCTTGCAGAGGGTTATATCAATACCACTCTCATATCTGTAAGCTAATCATGATTTGTTCTAGATCATGTAGAACTACTTTGGAGACAGAAAATATTTTTAATTTCTTTTAGCTGTGCACCATTAAAGCCTTCTTTCACTTCCACTTACTAGGAATGTTGTCGATCTAGAAATTCAAGCCTACTCTCAAGGTCTCTGGAGAAGGTGAATATAGCAGTTGACCTTTTTGTCTTTTTGTGTTTCAGATCATCATCTCTCCACGTACCATGAAGAAAATCTCTTCGTATTTCACAACAATGCCTTTGGAGTGACCAGTTTTGCCTGTCAGATGTTCTGTGCTTGTGTTTAAGATGCTTTTTTTGTTTTTTATTTTGAGTATTTTTTAACCTGAACCCACAGACAATAAGCCTCTCACTGATCTATGTCCAGATAGCAGGATAAGCAAACCTGGGCTGCATAGAAATAAACAAATCTGTCATTCAGAGTATTTGATGCTGCAGTTTTCACGGTCCTGAGAGGCCTTGCTTTATTTTTAATTGGTGGGTCATGGCGTTTGCTGTCTTGCCTTCCGCGTCCTAACACCAGTTTTCTGTGCTGTGTGCAAACTCTTCTGGTTTAACCCAAAACTCAATATGCATAGTTCCTTTCTGCACTACAATCCTCTTCACCCCCCCCCCCCCCCCCCCCCCCCCACCTTTTTACTCAAACCTCACAACTGCTTAAGTGTTATTCACATACAAAACCTCACCCTTTCTTTAATATAAAGTTTGCTTCCAGTGAATGGTCAACCAGCGTATTAATCTCTCAACGTGCAGAGAGAACATAATTTTGTCTGCAGATGTGGACATTATTTAATTCTGCACACAAAAAACATTTAATGTGTATTCACATATCCTTTGTCCGCTTTAATCATAGCCTCATCACCACCGATTAACCCTCTTCTTTGTGGGCTTTTTCCCCAATACTATCACTTTTGACTCTTTGTCCTTTAGTGGCTTCATTGCATACCGAAGGTCTGCTTAAACTGTAAGTTGTTTATTTGAGCAAATGCTTAAAGTTGTTTAGTATGTACAAATAACCAAACTGATTGTTGCTTGGTTGCTTTATTGTATTTTCAACTTGACACCAAATTTCTCGTGTGGCCTAAGATTTGTATATTAAAATTGAAATAATAGTTGCTAAAGTGTGACGGCTGTGAATAAAGAATGCTTGGCGG